TTTTCAGTATATTTGTTTTTATATATTTGTATGCAGATTTGTACTGTATGTATGTTCAGTGCCTAGCTGTCATATAATACTTATCTTATCTTAAAATACCTTGGTTTCAAGCCACAACTTCACCGAGCATGTACACAGCAGTCAGATGCTCTCAATTGGTCACAACATCTTGTTTTTATGAACATTATAATGTTTGTTAGTTTATATAGATGTGTGAACTTGCTTGATGAGCAAGCAGTTAAAAGTCAGTTTTACAGAATATTGACCATTACATTAACATAATTATCAACAATTTGTGTCTGCCTTAATTTTATGATATATATGATATATATAGATCAGTGTATCCATCCATACGTGATGAAACTTACTACAAAAAGCTCATAAGCACAACAATTATTTATTGGATTATTACAGTGTGCCGAGACTGCTGGGATCACTGCTTCTATCATGCTCTTAGAGAGTGTCACACTGTTTGGAAATGATTAATAAATAAAGAGAGGGGATTCATAATAATAATTAAGAAGAGGAGATGAATGAAATGCAGGGAGGCTGAGCCACAGAAGGTGAGGAGGGTATTAAAAACATTAAATGAATAAATAGTGTGATTATGAATGACTAAGTAAAGGCGCCGCAATAGAAAAGAAAGAGTGTGGAGCATCCTCTTATGTGGCATCCCCTGCATTCATTGCAACCCCTCACCATGACGAAGAATAAATAAACAGAAGTGATTGGTGTGATAAGTGGATGTGGTTATGCACAACTGCCTCATTCATCAGCCTCAGTTGAACTGGCATTATTAATTAAGATTGCTGCTCTTCATATAGATACTAACATATAAATCACAGGCGCACATGCGCACAGACCAGCTTCAACTCAATGATAACGCAAAGTTGATGAACAAGAACCAGGTCTTCTCTGTTACTTAGATAGATCTCTCCGTTTACTCATGAATATGCACCAAGCAATTTGCATATGCAAACCTTGGACTGTTATCTGATTTATGGGCTTTGCCGTTCAGTCTTTCCATCCACCTGCCAATCAAATCCCTTGTTTATGCATTGCTAATGACAATTCAGGAAATAAGCAAGGTAGCTGCTTATCCCAAAGATTTTAACCTACGCACAGCGTGAAGTCAGCTCACCTCACTTGAACCAAACTGTACATGTGAGAGCCATCTGCACAACACCTGGACACACCTGTGCTCTTTCTTGCATGCACACAAATACACTCACACACACTAGCTATGCAATGGCCTGCATCCAATAATCTGCTATACATTCACTACTGTTCAAAGGTTTGGGGTCAGTAAGATTTATTTTTATTTTTGTATTTTTTTGTAAAGAAACTAATTTTAATTCAGCAAGGATGCATTCATTGATCAAAAGTGACAGTAAAAGCATTTACCATTTTAGAAAATATTTCTATTGAAATGTTCTTTTGAAAATCCTATTCATCAAAGAATCATGAATTCTGAAATGTATCATGTTTCCACAAACTATTAAGCAGTTTTCAACATTGATAATAATAAGAAATGTTTCTTAAGCACCAAGTCACCATATTATTGTGACAGTAAAGTAAATGCTGCTAAAAATTCACAGGAATAAATTACATTTTTAAAATATACTGAAATTGTAATAATACAAAATATACCTCTTTTTAGTGTATTTTCATCAAATAAATGTGGGAACTCTACTTTGCTTCAATAAAATGCTACTGTCTAAACTGTCTAAAGGCAGAAGACAAAGAACAAAAAAAAAAAACAATGTAAACATCATTACGGCAAACACATGGTGGAAAAAAAATCGTAGTACACTTTAGTGTCAGTCAAATATATATATATAAAACTCCACAGATGACGATGAACGATCATATGAATGTGGTATCCGTCATTATAGTATATGGACATTGATGCTAATGCTAGCTAAAGAGCTACTGAACGCATCTTTAAAAAAGTCTTTAAGGGGCACCAAAAGATCATTTGGATTGTGCTCATCGAAGCTTCCCAGATTGTGCCCTAAAAATTAAATAGAAATTATTTTTAAAATGTCAACACTTACTCAACCCCCTGCCCCCACCCTGACACCAAATTTATTGTGCAATTCACACACTGATCTTATATAACTCCTAACAGCACTGTAAAGCACTGAAAAAAGGAAAAAACATGAAGTCACCTTAGTTGTTCTAACCTTTATATGTCATTTATGAAACCTAATGTGGTTGATTCAGCTGAACCAGTTTTTAACTCTGGTTAAGTTTGATGTTACCACAAAAACAAAATTTTGTAGGCCCCACAGTTTAACCCAACACTGGGTTGTGGTAATGCTTTTCAGGAGTCCTATTCGAGTATTTCTGTTTTGGATTTCCACTCTTGTTCTGTGATTGTGCTTTAACAGAGCGGAGCTGTTCCCCCTGAAGTCCACACTCACTTCACCTCTACTAACATTACACATGTGTTCACAGTGTTTTTTCTCAATTACATACCATATTAACAACAGAGTTCCCTCATGTGACTATAATGGAGCATTCACTCAGAATGTGAAAACAGAATCTATCCTTTCGTCAGCAGAGATGTTTGTTCGCCCAGGAAAACCGGTGGTTCGTATGTATTTATTCAAACCTGTTTCTCAATTATGCGTCTGAGAGGGTTCTGCATTTTTTTCTGGGATGCGCATCACTGGAGCGAGAGTGTAGGGCCTTTAGGATCACTGCCCACTCCGCGCTTAGTAATTGTCAGTGTGTGTACGTGTGCGAGCTGAAGGTACACTCTCAGCTATAACTCTCTTAGAAGATGAATGAGGAGGCAGTGGTCTGGTTGCTTTGTTTTTGTTTTTTACCTCATAGCCAACGGCACTTCTCTTACTGTTTACACCAAACGTGCTCTGCTTGAAACAAAGACGTTTAGCTGTAGAACACTCACACACATTCGTGCCATATCACACCCCCGAGTCAAAACACCAGAATACTAGCTTGTTCGGTCTGGTCCACAGTGAGGAGAGACAGAGTGACTGTGCAGCTTTGGCTGTAGACCCAAATTCAGCTCACTGACCACAGCTATTACAGCTATTAACATCCTGTGCTACATTTAGGCTCTGACCCCTGATAATAAGCGTATGTATAGCATGAGAATATAGAGCGACATTCAGCAATACAATGCTTTAATATCAGCTCTAAATCACTTTCTCTCTCTCTCTCTCTCTCGGTGCTGTATAACTAGGCCAAGCTGAGGTAACAGTGTGTCATCAGTGTTGCAGAGCAGTTATGAAGAGAGAGAGAGGGAAGTCACACACACACATACACACTGATAATGCAAGCTCACAGGCTAATTTCCCCTCACACGTTTTTACCAAAATGAAGTACACTCTTCCTAGAACACATCTTGGGGAACACTGTAGCTCGTAGTAAAACAGGGTTAATGTCCATACTTTCTACTGTGCAGTGGGCCGAAAGTGTGTAATGGCATTAGCTGTAGAAGTCTTATTAAACTTAATCCATGAAAATAAGCCAGTTTAATTTGGTTTTATCATGTAGCATATCCGCCCCGTGCTGCTACCGATGCTAATGCAGTTAGGCAGCTTTCTCGGTATGCTGAAACTGGGTGGAAGAAGCACTTTTAATTTCTCTGCGCAGTGAGCACTCTGGTGTGAATGGAAAAGCACATGGCGCAGATATAGTGCAAAATTCAGCGCAAAAAAAGCTAAAAATGTCTGTAAATGTAGCTTTTCCATTAGCATGTGATAACCTCTGTAAAATGTGTGAAAAGTGAGTGAGTGATTTAGATTGAGATTAAGACCGATAAATATCAAGCTCTCAGGCAGGTGGGCTGCTGCTGGTGCATGTGTTTAATTTGATTTTAATTTAGGCCAAATTTGTATTCTGCCCCAAGCTACTTATTAATGTGAACAGTACCTGTAAACTATAGGTCAATTTCTGCATTATTTCATAGGTTTTACAACCAGTAGAGCCAGATCACAGACTGATGCACCAACACACTCATTTATATCCCCACTGTTGCTCTAATTTACCGTTCAGTCAGAGCCGACATACCTAACCGTGACTAAACCAACCTCATCCATTCTAATATGAAGTCAAAAAATGAAGTGTGTATGTGTGTGAGAGAAAGAGAGACAGAGAGAATGTGTGTGTGTGTGTGTGTGTGTGTGTGTGTGTGAGACAGTGAGAGATGCTGAGATTGAATGGTGTCACAATGCAGGCATATTGAGGTCGTTTTGAAAAAGTGCAGCTAATTACAGCAGATGGAATGAAAAGAAACAGGGGACTAGACCGGGCGCCATGTATGATGCTGAAAGAGGGAGGAGAACGAAAAAGCAGAGGGGGAGAAACAGACGGAGACTCCCTGAGAAACTTGCAGGAGTGCGAGAGAACGGAGAAGTGATGGAAAGAGACACACGAGTAGAGAGAGAGGTTCTGTGAGGACAAAAGCACAAACCTGACCAAATTTCTACAACATACAGCAGATAAGAAACTATACAAGTCTCTCTTTTTTTTCATGTCAGTATGCAACATCTGGAGTTTCCAATGATCATTACTACATATTTGGTCGACTTTGACATTACAGTTGGGGCTTGAGGCATAACTCTGCTTTGTTTTATTTGATTTTTACTAAAGTAATTGACAAAAAGACCTCAGATGAGCTCTACAGCTTATGACTACAAAGTTCTGAGGACTACAAAGCACTCATATTCAGCAAACATCTACCTAACCTACATGTGGTTGTTTTCAAGATCAAGAGATCTAGAAAATATATCACTCCTACTTAAATATATCACTTAAAGAAAAAATAACACAAAGCCTATTACCAAAACAAATACCTGCATTGATTATAGTCATACAGAGATGTGCACAAACACTCACAATACACACAAACATGAACCATCTCAAAAAGCATATTTTTCAAGCATTTTTTTTTAATCTATTTAAATGTATTTTCTATAAAATGATGCCTTATTATCGTGAAAATAACGATTAAAAAGACGACTTACAGTATGTTTGAACTGTTCCAGTGTACCGCGTGCCTGGCTGCAGTCACCAGGTCAAAGTTCGTGCAGGTGAGCGTCAGAGTGAAAAGACAGAGCGCGTAGAGTGCTGTAAACTATAGGTCAATTTCTGCATTATTTCATAGGTTTTACAACCAGTAGAGCCAGATCACAGACTGATGCACCAACACACTCATTTATATCCCCACTGTTGCTCTAATTTACCGTTCAGTCAGAGCCGACATACCTAACCGTGACTAAACCAACCTCATCCATTCTAATATGAAGTCAAAAAATGAAGTGTGTATGTGTGTGAGAGAAAGAGAGACAGAGAGAATGTGTGTGTGTGTGTGTGTGTGTGTGTGTGTGTGAGACAGTGAGAGATGCTGAGATTGAATGGTGTCACAATGCAGGCATATTGAGGTCGTTTTGAAAAAGTGCAGCTAATTACAGCAGATGGAATGAAAAGAAACAGGGGACTAGACCGGGCGCCATGTATGATGCTGAAAGAGGGAGGAGAACGAAAAAGCAGAGGGGGAGAAACAGACGGAGACTCCCTGAGAAACTTGCAGGAGTGCGAGAGAACGGAGAAGTGATGGAAAGAGACACACGAGTAGAGAGAGAGGTTCTGTGAGGACAAAAGCACAAACCTGACCAAATTTCTACAACATACAGCAGATAAGAAACTATACAAGTCTCTCTTTTTTTTCATGTCAGTATGCAACATCTGGAGTTTCCAATGATCATTACTACATATTTGGTCGACTTTGACATTACAGTTGGGGCTTGAGGCATAACTCTGCTTTGTTTTATTTGATTTTTACTAAAGTAATTGACAAAAAGACCTCAGATGAGCTCTACAGCTTATGACTACAAAGTTCTGAGGACTACAAAGCACTCATATTCAGCAAACATCTACCTAACCTACATGTGGTTGTTTTCAAGATCAAGAGATCTAGAAAATATATCACTCCTACTTAAATATATCACTTAAAGAAAAAATAACACAAAGCCTATTACCAAAACAAATACCTGCATTGATTATAGTCATACAGAGATGTGCACAAACACTCACAATACACACAAACATGAACCATCTCAAAAAGCATATTTTTCAAGCATTTTTTTTTAATCTATTTAAATGTATTTTCTATAAAATGATGCCTTATTATCGTGAAAATAACGATTAAAAAGACGACTTACAGTATGTTTGAACTGTTCCAGTGTACCGCGTGCCTGGCTGCAGTCACCAGGTCAAAGTTCGTGCAGGTGAGCGTCAGAGTGAAAAGACAGAGCGCGTAGAGTGCCATAATCCCTCGATCTCTCGCTTTTCTTCCCAGTCTTGCAAGATCTTCTCACCCCACGCGACGCTGCGCTGGAACCATCCCGTTCGGCGAAGAAGGGCAGGAAGAGATGCGACCTAAAGCGCAGCTCGCTTAATTACTTCTATAGGGGTTTCGCAATCTATAGGTTTATATTAAGTGTTTAAAAAGTCAGAATCCATGGCGAAGACCCCCTCCCTCTGTCCCCATGGCGTCAACCCAAATCCTATAGTCCGACACGAGACCAGCGCTGTTCGCGCGCTGATGGATCTCGGCGGACGGAGCAGAAAGATGCAGACAGCCGGGTGCTGGGAGTTTAAATGCGGGAAAGAGAGAAGCGTGTCCTCCCGTAGCGTTGGAGAAACTCGGGAGGCAACGAGGCTCCTTGATTGTAAAACTAATATTCTCTTTTGTTGATGCTGCTCGTAAGATCGTATCTGGTAAATGCGCGTGGAGAATCCTGCACGCGGCTGCGGGATGTTTCACACTTGCAATTGTGTGACGAACAAGTGCTCAAGCGAGTTTTATTCGCTCTCTTTGGCCATATCCCCGCGCTCGCTCTCTCTCTCTCTCTTACCTTTCGCTGTTGTTTCTCCCAGGCGGGGTCAAGCAGCATATCCCGGTCCCAGTCATCTTCCTGATGCATATAGTCGTTCTCTCCTCCATCATAGTGATCATGATGTTGTTGTTGATGGTGGTGGTGATCCATTCTGAACTGCTGTTCCCGTCTCTCTCCGGTCCTGAGACTCCTGAGACTCCTTCTTTCTCTCTCTCTCTCTCTCTCTCTCTCTCTCTCTCTCTCTCTCTCTCTCTGTGTTTGGTAGGCTGTGCTCGTTCAGTCACCAGCTCCACCTCTTGCCCAGGACAAAAGCGCGCGTCCGCTGGCTACAGCTCTCAGTCTTTCAGAGACGCTTTCAGACAGCTGCTCTCGCGACGGACGAGAAAAACTTTATTTTATATCAGTAAACAATTACGACGGAGACCGTTCCTAGTGCAGTTTTAATTACCTACCAGCACAATCCTCTTACTGTCGGTCAGAGTGCAGTGCTTTATATCCTATTATAAGCAAACCTCCATCCTTCTGTGCTCCTGCTCGTTCCTAGTGCAGTTTTAATTACCTACCAGCACAATCCTCTTACTGTCGGTCAGAGTGCAGTGCTTTATATCCTATTATAAGCAAACCTCCATCCTTCTGTGCTCCTGCTCTCTCTCTCTCTTTCTCTCTCTCTCTCTCTCTCTCTCTCCAGTGTAAGTCTTTTCTAATATGGAATAATTATGGGAAATCCTCTTAGGAGGGAGAATGAATTGATGGATTGGCTCATCTCTATCTCTGTCCTTCACTCATACTCATCCACATATAAAAGATGTTGAGCTGATGTTAATGTTCATATGATAGCAATCAGTCTCTCCTGTTCCTGTATGTGCGCACGTGCCATTTGTTTTATGTGTGTGTCCCTCCTGTCAGGCCTGCCATAATTATGTACACCTGTGCACACATACACCAACCCTTATCTATATCTATCTATCTATCTATCTATCTATCATCATCTCAGTGTTGGCAAGTCCACAGCTTTCCCACTGAATTGGGCTACTTTTATACTGATGCCACGGGTTGCCCCTGGTAGGTGGTTTTGACCCTCCAGAATTTGATAGCTATTTTCCCCTGGAACATGGGCTAGTTTTGAGTACCAGTTCTGGTTTGGTTATGCAGACCTGGAAACCCTGATCTATCTGTCTGTCTGTCCGTCTATCTGGGATGTATCTAGAAATACAGGTGAATAGATAATGCACTAATACAGAAATAGTTGAAGATAGTGCTATGTAATATTTATTACATGACGGTCGATGTCATGATGCCTTAAGACACGTTGCCTTGGTGATAGCCGTGATAGTTTTTGGTTTTTGGGGTTTCTTTTTTTTTAGGAATGAGAAAAAGCGAGCAAGCGAGAGGAAGGAGAGAGTTGCAGAGGTGGGATAGTTGCAGTTTGCCTCCCGTCTTCTGGGAATGAGTTGGTTAAGGAGAAGTCAAAATGATTTATTGGGAGAAAAGGAGGGAATAGAGGAAGAGAGGACAGTGAGAAAGAGAGGAAGAGATTAGGTGTCATAGGGGAATCCCTATGTTTTTGTCTTTTCCCTCTTTTTGTTTTTTACTACTTCTCACCTGTCTTCCGCCCTGCCCATTTGTAAAGCACAGCGCCCCCCCCCCACACACACACACACACATATACACATTTGCCAGCTCCTCCTGTCTTCACCCTACATGCATTGTGTCAAGCTACATTGACTCTTTCGAAGTCTATTTCTGTCCTCCTTTTGTTCGCTCACTCTCTTGTGATCTACCTCTGTCACCTCTTTGTGTGCCTCACTCTCATCGGCCTGCCATCTTTCTCTCCGCCAGAGTTTCTATGACAGCGACAAAATATTTCACTCCTATTTTCAACAGTCGTTCCTTCGCCCTGTCAGCACACAAGTTTTGGGTCTCGAGCAAAAAAAAAAGTTAATTGGTACGGTAAGTCTAGAGGAAAATATTCCCTCTTCAGCACCCCATTCACACACTAAGATTCCATGTATTTTAAGTATGTTGCAAATTGAGTTTGAAATTTGCAATCATAAATAGCTCCTAAATTGTAATATTCAAGCAAGTCAGTTGTGCGCTCCCCCCTAGAGTGAGAGATTTACATATCCTTTCTATTCCACCCTTTTTTAATTTCTTTATTTACGACGATTCAAACCATTTTATATAACCATGACGGGCTATTGTCAGTTTTCATAAAACATCTTTCATTTGCAATACTGCCTCCCAATTCAGTTGTGTCTCTCTGTCTCAGGAGCAGATGATGAGAAATGGTAGTGTATCATTTTCAGGGCCCGTGACACCGTGGCCCTTATGACATTTAGCTCGGGGAGTTCCTGCTCGGCTCTGTCACATGGCCGGTTCTTGCTCTCAAATCCAATCTCCACACACTCATAGCCTTCAATCTAACAGAACATTCAGCTCTTGCCCAACTTTGATTTGCTTTCAGATATAAACTACCCAACTAAAACACAAACACATCTGGCTGAACGGCTGACCTTATGACACGGAAGTTCTCTCCCTGTGACTGGGAGGTGATGCGGCATCACCGTCACGCTGAAGACATCGGGGCAGACTGGAATAGGCTCTGTAGACTGTTTTATAAGAATGTCGATTTATATTTGCAGCACTTACCCAAGTTCCCAAATCTCATTTAAAATATCACATCATGGGAATCTAGCACATGTAAAATGGCTATTTAAGAATATTCCAGATATAATACAACTGTGGTCAGCTGCAACAGAAAATAATTAGCTTGAAAACAATAGAAAACAAGTTTGCAGTTAATACAATTAGCAATATGAAATTAAAAAATCGAGTGCAGCAGTGTTTCTATTGTGCGGCATACAACTATAACATTTACAAATTACACATTAATCTTGTCTACTATACCCTATACCTTTTTGACTGATGAATGCATGCTTTAAAAATGTTAAACTTCACATTTCTGCTTTATCCTCTCTTGAACACTTGGCTGCCAGCTTCCATTGTAAGTGCATTACTGTAATGTGTTTTCCATTCTTTCTCTCTTTTTTTTCTTTTTCCACATTGAACCATATTTCAGTGAATTGAATATCTTTTTTTAACAAACTAAAGGAACAAGTCAAATTTATCACCTGTAGTAATCGACAGCATTCTCCACAGCTTTTCCATAGAACTCAAGTGATAGTATTTAACCCGCAATATTCCTTTAAGTGCACTTTCACAATTTGTGGCTTTTCAGGACCGATTATGAGCTTCTTTGTTTCAAAATTAAGAAGCAAAAGTGGCCCTTCACACATGCTGTCTCACTCTCTCTTTCTGTCACTCTCCTTCACTCCTTCGCTCTCCCTTCCTCTCACTCATCTGTCTGACATGAATTTTCAATCTCACTGTTTACCTTCCACTGCTGTGCCTAAAACAACACTGACACAGATAGAGCACACATAAGAGAGAGTAAGAGAGAGAGAGACAAGTAGACCAAGAAACAGGCGGAGAGATATTAGTAAGAAAGACCGGCGAAAAGAAGGAAAGAGTATAACAATGAAAGAAGTGGAAAAACAGAAAATCCTGTGCGTGTGTGTGTGTGTTGTTTGCCAAACAATGGAGAAAAGAGAAGGCACGCTGGCTAAGAACCTCTTTGTATAAATGAAGTGGACATTGTCCAGTCACGAAAAGCCAAAGAGCCGGAGAGCAAAAATGGGACACAGAACATCACGGATGAAGTGGGAGAGAGAAAGATTTATGGAAATGGAGGGAAAGGAAGTAGACAGAAAGAATGATGTGGAGAGAAAAAAGGATTTTTTTAACGACTGGGGAGGAAGGGGAGGCGGCGGAGAGCAAGCTTAGAATAGATACGCTCTCAACCACATTAAATATTGAACGAGGGAGCAAGAAAACGAGAGAGGAAAGGAAAATGGAGAGAATGATAGCGATAAATACAATCGTTATTTGTTTAGTGCGCGCTGAGGGAGAGTGCGAGATGGAGGGAGGGAGTGAACGACAAGAAGGGAAGGAGAGTACTTTGGAAAAGATGGATGAACGAGAGAGTCTTGCCGGCAGCGGTGGAATGAAGGCCGTGCGGAGAGGGCAGGCTTTCCGAGAACGAAAGAGAGAGAAACATTTGTTTGGATTCTGATGACTGATCTATGTGGATGAATGGTACGGTTTTGTTGGAAAATATTACTCTGCAAAAAGTGTTTCATCATCTTTCTTCTCTCCCAACAGTCCTCCCCCTCCAATCTCTCTTCCACACTCTTCCTGCTTTGATCTCTCTCTTCTCACTGATCTTTTTCTCTCTCCCCCATCAAATTTGAAATGTTTGGCAGGTTTTGTTCAGATTGCGGTGCAGATGTGCTTGTGTTTTGCAGGTTTCTGCTCAAATTTGGCATGGTACCAACAGATAGCCAAAGGCTTACATTTCAGAGACACGTCATTTAAAATATTATTCATTTATAATCCTTGGCTTCCTTTCAGAAATCCCAAATAGACATGTTAGGTGTGCCTCTCATGATCATCTGAATGGCTATTTATAATCTCCTGCCTTCAAATTGTGCTTTAATTCCCTTCTCTTGAAAGCAAGAAACTTATATCCACATGACCAACAATGAAAAGGGCCTTTTTGAATTTACTACTTTTTTAAGGTAAGTGTTTGTAGCCTACATTTATCTATCTCGAGTTGAGTGTACTCATTTTTTGTAAAGTGAACAAAGCGAGCCACATCTACACTCCTAAAAATAAAGTTTACAAAATGTTTATTTCTTTATTTTCTTTATTTTTATTTTATACTTTTTTTATACGCTTTTTTTTTTTTTTTTTTGCCGTGATGCCATAGAAGTAGCCTACTATTTGGGTTCCTCAAAGAAAAGGAAAAAAAAAACGTTTTTTATTTTTTTATTTTGTTTTTTTTTTTACATTACAACATTTTGTTTTAATTTACCTACATTTTACAACAAGACGCACATGTAGCGACATGAGAAATATTAGCCTTTGAAGCGACATTTACAAGTAAAAAAAAAAAAGAAAAAATAAAGAAAGAAAGAAAAAACAGGCCAAGACAAACTTGCAAAACTCGTGAACGGAAAAACCTGCGTGCGAACAACATTCTCCTGCGCGCACGGGAAAGCGTTCCCGTACACGAGCGTGGCAGTTTTCAG